CAGGATGGTCTCGATCTCCTGACCTCGTGATCCGCCCATCTCGGCCTCCCAAAGTGCTGGGATTACAGGCTTGAGCCACCGCGCCCGGCCTCACCTGTTTCTTAGGAGAATCTTACAAGTGTGAAAAAAGAAATCTTTAAGAAATGTTGACATTGAAAAACTTAATTTCCGGAAAAATGGATGGACATGTGGTATGCAGGGAGCATACTGGTAATTCACTTTAAAGCAGAGGTTTTTGATAGTAAGAAAGACTAACTGCTGTATTTATTTAACTAGGGTCCTCTTCTACTTCATTGGAAATAGGTAGGTGTGATTTTGTGAGAGTTAAAGACTCAGTATTTTATAACATACATGTTACACAAGGAGAGAAACACTGCCTACTCTTTCTGGAAAATATATCTTTGGCCTATAATGCATTCTGTAAGGGTATTCCAGGCTGATATGGATGGTTGCTGTAATTTATAGTTTGAATAGCCTTGAAGTAGGACCAGACACTCAATGCCAAAAGATTTTTTATTTTCTTTTTTTGTACATTGTGAAAATATTAAGCAGATATTTTAAAAAAGGAAATATCAAACATTGAAAGGTTATTTATTGCTTTGGGGTAAGCTTTTTTAAAAATAAATTACATTATATTACACAATGTAAGTAGGAGTAAGAGTAACTCATATTCAGAAGCCATTCATAATAGTAGATTCTGTAGCCAAAACATAAGAAAAAAGTCAGAAATAAGCAAAATAGGTTATTGAACGACCAAAATAAATGTCATAAAAGCTAAACAGTTTTAACAGGGTATCAGTATCAATATGTGGGCTGAAAAGAAGGAAATGGCTAGGGGTAGGTGCTTTTACAACCACAAAGAGTAACGACAGAAGGAAAAAACAGAATGTTGAACAGCATACACAGATTTTCTAAGAGCATTAAGTAATAGTTTGGAGACATTTAATATAGAGACAAGCAGTCTAAATGGCAAGTAGACTACATAAAGGCATGGCTTTCAATCCTGTTGTCTTTACTTACAACCATGTAATCTTGGGCAAGTTTTTTTATTTCGTTTTTGTTTTTTTGAGATGGAGTCTCGCTGTGTTGACCAGGCTGGTGCGTAGTGGTGCGATCACGGCTCATTGCAACCTCTGCCTCCCAGGTTCAAGCGATTCTCCTGCCTCAGCCTCCTGAGGAGCCGGGCTTACAGGCAGGCACCACCACACCTGAGGAATTTTTTGTATTTTTAGTAGAGAAGGGTTTCATCATGTTGGCCAGGCTTGTCTCAAAACCCTAACTTCAGGTGATCAGCCTGCCTTGGCCTCCCAAAGTGCTAGGATTACAGGCGTAGCCACCGCGCCCAGCTTTTTGTTTTGTTTTGTTTTTTAAACCTCTATGTACCTCATTTACTTATCTGTTAAATGGGGATAATACTTTACAGAATTTTGAAAGGATTGATCTAGTCTGTGGAAACAACTGGAAAACAGTACCTAACACGTAGCAAGATCTCAAATAAAGATATATTGCAATAGTTCCTGAGGTGGACATCAATATGCGTAAGTCATTAAATGAAAAAAGACATTAAATTTTATTCAATGGTTTTCTTCTAAGAAGGCTGGAAAGTGAGTGAAACATTTTGGAAAGATTTCCATATAAAATGGTTGACCTTGGTGATTAAAAAATGCTAAGGATAGGGAGAAACTGGAACCCTTGTGCATTGCTGGTGGGTATGTAAAATGGTACCGCCATGATGAAAAACATTATGGTGGTTCCTCAAAAAATTAAACAAAATTACCACATAATCCAGAAATTCCACTTCTAGGTATATACCCCTCAACACTGAAATCATGTACTTAAAAGGTATATGTATACTAATGTTCATAACAGCATTGTTCACAATGGCCAAAAGGTGGAGGCAATGCAAATGTCCATCAACAAATGAAGTGATAAACAAAATGTGGTATTTACGTAAATAGAATATTATTCAGCCTTAAAAAGGAATAAAATTCTTTTTTCTTTTTTTCTTTTTTTGATACGGAGTTTTACTCTTGTTGCCTAGGCTGGAGTGCAATGGTACAATCTTGGCTCACCGCAACCTCCGCCTCCAGGGTTCAAGCAATTCTCCTGCCTCTGCTTCCTGAGTAGCTGGGATTACAGGCATGAGCCACCATGCCCAGCTAATTTTGTA